TTTACCACTCATCGAATTCTCGTACAACAATAGCTATCACACTAGCATCAAAGTTGCTCCCTTTGAAGCCCTCTATGGTCGTAAGTGGAGATTTCCTATGTGTTAGGCAGAAGTGGGTGATACGCAACTAGCCAAGAACCAAGTACCCGACAGTACTTTAACCGGTCCCGAGATCATTCGAGAAACAACAGAAAAGATAGTTCAGATCCGGGAACGATTGAAAGCTTCTAGAGACAGACAAAAGAGTTATACGGACAAACGACGAAAACTCTTGGAATTCCAGGTTGATGATCGCGTCTTGTTAAAGGTCTCACCCTGGAAAGTAATGATACGTTTCAGAAAACGTGGAAAATTAAATCCAAGGTACATCGGACCATTCGAGATTCTTGCTAGAGTTAGCCCGGTGGCTTACAAACTCAAACTACCGCATGAACTCAGTAACATTCATCCCACTTTTCACGTCTCTAATCTCAAGAAGTGTCTGTCTGACGAGACTCTTGTAATCCCACTCGACGAAATCGAGTTAAACGAGAGTCTACACTTCGTAGAAGAACCAGTGGAGATCATGGATAGGGAAGTCAAAAGAACAAAACAAAGTCGTATAACAATAGTGAAGGTTCGCTGGAATGCCAAGCGAGGACCTGAATTCACTTGGGAAAGGGAAGATCAAATGAAGCAAAAGTATCCACATCTTTTCTCTAATTCATGAGTACCACTTTAGAAACAATTTCGGGACAAAATTCCCTCTAACGGGGGGATAATGTAACAACCCGTTATTTTCAAATCTGTAAAAGTCAACAAAAGTCAATAAAATTTAAACATGTTAAATAAAAGTCAAACACGTCAAGTATTATGTCAAATAATGTTATTATTTATTTAAACATCTTATATATTCGATATTGAGAATTTAATCTCAAAAGGATGGACCGAAATCACCACTTGGTGATTTTGATACGAGAACCGAGAACACACCAACCGAAAACCCTCGCTGGAGCTACTCTTCTCGGACCGAGAACAGTTTTTGCTTCTGACCGCAAACTTCCCCTTCTTCGGACCGCAAACAGCTTCTCGTCCGAAATCACTTCCTTTCTCGGCCGAAATCTCCTTTCCTCGGGAAGAGTTCTAGTCCGAAAACCCTAAAATATCTAGATATTTAGCTTATAACCGCCTTACCTTTTCCTTCCTAAGTAAGTTATGATATAGAGATCAAATTCACTTCATACTTCCAGTAAACGAAATTTACTTTACAAAAATCTTTACAAGAAGCTTTTGATCCAATTTCCTCCTTAGTATTTTGGTAAGTTTTATTTATAAAACTTGTGTTATACAACACTCATATTACTTATATCATTTTAATCACACATTATTATGTGTATAAACTATTAGGATACGGCTATCGTTACGTGTTCTAAACCAAAAGTCACCGTTCCTATCCCGTTATCAAAATCGTTATCACACTCGAGGTGAGTTCATACCCCTACGTTTTCATGATTTTTCACTGTTTTAGGGGGGGAGGGATACAAGTGTAACACAAGAAAACACAAGAAATTGTGTTAATATCTAAATGTTTTCAATATTTATCAATCGTTGTCGTTATTAAATATATATATATATATATATATATATATATATATATATATATATAATTAGGGTTCAATAGGTTTAGAATTGATAATTTGACTCCATTTCTCGTTCCTTGTTTGGTTGTGGGCTTTGGGTAGAATTATTTATTCGACTGTCTATTTAATCATAATTAAATAAATATTATATTTATATAAGTATAAAATCATTTAAAACTTGTTAAACAAAAATATAATTTTTGCAAACTATTTTAGTACCATTTGGACATAAATGTTGAATTTCACGGAACAACCGTATCACAGATTTTACGATTTAAATTTGCCGAATTATTAACAATACAAAGGTTTTCGTTTCAGTAAAACACAAACATATAAGCTATAATAGGTATAGTTTATGGAACTTACATGTTGCTTTTCAAAGTTCAGATTACAATACGGAAAACAACCATATAAACTATAATAGGTGTAGTTTATGGATCATATGCATTACTTTACATATTCAGAATACATTACGGAAAACAAATGTATAAACTATAGTAAATATAGTTTATGAGATATACTTACAGTTTATCCATTTCAAAATAACTTTTCATTATTGTACACGTAACTGTCAATATAGTATTTGTGAGACACATTTCACGTACTTATCTAAGTACCAACCAAGTCCTGAAATTATAACCAGAGTCTCCTGGAGGGAGAGCGTGACACTTGTGTATAGATCTATACGGGACTGACAATCCCGCACCTTAACTGTTCGCTACAGTTAGGCCGATAAGCCTGGGGTGACAAATGTCATACCAATTCCGACGCCTGAAGAACGTCGTATTCAGGCCATCTTAGGTCATCAATCATGGTTATAATAACTCACAATTTGGTATTGAAAAATACGATTAGTGTAGGAATAAGTAAACATTTTCACATAGTTTTATTAAATAATAAAACTATAATACAATATTTTATAAGTACAGATGGTAAACTCAGGCATTTACAATTACACAGTTTTCACACAAGTACAAATACAGAATACTATTCCAGTACAGAGAAAACATACTTTTCATAGTTTTATATGAATTTAAAACTACATTATATTATTTCAGAGTACAATAACATTTACACGTTTTGAATACAACACATTACAATAGAAAATATAGGATTTTCTGGGAAAACATATTTACATTTCGATGAAACAAATGACAGATTTCAATTACAAACATGCTTATAAACTCACCAACTTAATTGTTGACACTCTTTTCAAAACTATTTGTATTCTCAGGAAATTAGTAAACAGGTATCCACAGGTTTTGAGAAGACGGAGCTTCATTAACTCATGTCTTTTAACTTTTGCTATACATTTTGGTGTCAAGTATACGTTGATTCGAACACGAATGTAAAACTATACTTTATCAATGTAATGGTTGTTGTACTTTGATTACTATTATACAATTGTTGTGATACTGTACATGACGTCCTCCGCTCCCGAACGTTTCCGCCGTTCCGGTTTGGGGGTGTGACATTTGGCCATATTGGGACTTAGAAGCCTTTTTGGTTGGGCTTGGATACTTTTGGGTTGTTATGGATTTAGGCCTTGGATGGAGGAGGCCCAATAAGGCAAAGGTAAAGGAACTTCTTTCCTTAAGTCATGGATTAGGGTTTTTGGACCTTCGGGTTAGAATGTGACCTAATTGCTAATTAGGATTTTATGTTTGTGCGATAGGGAGAGAAGTTCGCGAGTCATCCGCTGAGCACGATCTGACACCCACATTTTGAGGTGAGTCTTCCTTCGCAATAGTCGTGGATCGAAGGCACCAAGGCCGGCCCACTAGTTATAGCATGATGATTGTCTTTGTGATAATTGTCAGTGATGTCTGTACTTGTATGATGACTCAGTGATTACTGTTATGGTATTATGTGGTAGTAGTAGGGGGTGAAATAGACCCAATATCCGGTTGAAATAGACCGAAGGGGCGGGCCAGCACCCAGATATGCTTGGCAGTATCCGGTTGAGATAAACCGAAGAGGTAGGCCAGCACTCAGATATGTTTAGCAGTATCCGGTTTAAATAGACCGAAGGGGCAGGCCAGCACCCAGATATGCTTGGCACTATGTTGTTCAGTATGTTTGTGTAGTATGTTTGATTAGTATGTGGTATGTTGGGAGAACTCACTAAGCTTTGTGCTTACAGTTTTCAGTTTTTGTTTCAAGTACCTCTAGCTTGAAGGGGAAGGGCCTGACTTGATCGCACACTTCATGTTTTTCCGCACTTAGTGATTTTGGGATTTGTACTTTGATATTATGATACAATGTGACTCTTTTGATTACTTTGGTATCGGTTTCTTATGAATGGAATGAATTTAAAAACAAAAATTTTATCTGTATTTTTTGGATGTTACATTATATCATTTAACTTTGGCATTTGTTTCTTTATTTACAAAAATCAGGTGGTAACTATATCAACTTCTAATAAAGAGGAAGACTTTTTTTAACAACAATAACATGGAATACTTTATTTGTATACGACAATAAAGTGGAAGACTTCACATATATTTTTTTTAACTACTTATACATACCCCATTATTCTACTCCTAAATTGATACATTTCATCTATAACAAGACTTGAACCTTCAACATTCGGCTGAAGGACACATATCTGTCATTTCCTAATACCGCTAGGCCAACGAACCTTGGTGGAAGACTTTAAATTTATCTAGTGCATATGAATAAAATGTATTGCATGAATCTTATAATTTTGATTGTTTATTTCAAATATTTATTAACTTATTATGGTTTGATACCAGTAACAAGGAGTTTCAGGTGTTTCGATAACATTTTATAAGCATTTATTAACTTAAATATTGAGTTTTTAATAAGTTATTTCCTCCTTTTTATCGACTTATTTAAAAAGTTTTTTTTCTAAGTTATTTCCTTATAACACATATAAGTTGGGGTGATCATTTGGACTGAATCGGACCGAAACTGGTGAATCGAACCGGTTTAGAGAATTCTTTGGACCACGACCGAACCTAGTGAGACATACTGGTTCTGGTGCGGGTGCAGGTGTTGGTTTTCCAATTTATGTACCGTTGGACTGGTACAGTATTCGTTACATATGGTACAAGTTGTTGAAGCAGTAGCGAAAAACTTTCAGGTTTGATACCCCGACTTCGAGAGACTGTAACTCATTTAATATGGAACCAAAAATTATGAAATTATAGCATAAATTAAAGTACAAACTATAAACTACATGTAAAAATATCTCATGTCAATCTGATTTCAAACGAATGAGTTATAAAAGTTTCACATATTACACATAAAAAAACCGGTCGGATACCTGGGAACTACAGAACCGACCCTTCTAAAAAACCGAAACTGGAACAAAGCCAAGCCAAGAATCGAAACCTGACCGATTACATAAAACGGGTACTAGTCCAGGTCCGGGTGCCGATCTAGTCCGATCCACAGGTCCGAATGTTCACCGCTACATATTAGCATAATTAGCTAAATACAAAGAAAAAAAATTATCGCCTTATTACGTTTTGGCAGCGGATAAAGTAATCTAAACATTTTTTAAACTACTTTTTGACACCGGATAAACTACTAAAACACTTTTACTATAACATAAATTGTTTTAAATAAGCAATCCCAAACACCCCTAATAAATCAATCAGTGACAAAAAAAATATGATAGTTATCAAACAAAAATAACAAATTAAATGGCATTTGATAAACTTATATAGTACAAATATTTTTACATAATTTCAATCATGTTTAAGAACAAGAGCCAAACCGAACCTGGGAATTTTGTGCAAGGCTTGGGTATCAAGCTCACTGGATAATGTGACGAATGATTTGGGAAAAATCTCATGCTTCAAAAGGACACTTAGCTTTCCATGATTGGTCAACTTGGCCTTGACCATTGTTTGACCATCAACTGCATAACACCCTCCAATTGTGAATCTGGTTTTATTTGTCTTTAACCTTCTGCTAAACTCCCCTGCAACAGCAGTCTTTTTAAATCGATCAAAATGGTGTATACAGGATGCTCTAATCGTGTCCCCTTTGTCACCCCTGAAAGTAAATTTATATTCCATTGTCGCAAGATTTGTTGTTGATAAGTGGAATTAGTTAACATAATGATGTTTTGAAGGGTAATTGCTTACAGGAATATGGAAGCAGTAGAATCTGGTACGTTAACACTGATGCCAACAGTGAAGTTTGTGAACTTACTTGAAGGTGTCTCATAGCCTACCTTTGCACCCATGGCAAAAATTGGAGTCCCGATTGTTGCTGAAATGTTAATGGTTGGAGAGTGATTCAAGGCAACTGTTGATGTTAAAGTAGCATGGTGATGAAAGTAGTGAACTTCAAGCTGTGGGAAAAAAATGGTTACTCAAAACCTTAAACCCCAAATTAAATGAAGAAATGAGTAAACCGGATTTAGGGAAACTGATGACTATACCTTTCCAGATCTAAAATCAGGCAGTTCTAATGAAGCAATTGCCTTTGTTGAAGGGAAAAAAATATATGTGGAAGTTAATGTAGTAGCAATCTGCAGAATCACTGAAATCATGAAAGATGATGATGCATGAATAGTATTAAGAATACTTACATTTGATTGTTTCTCGAATTTAAGTTGGAATATATATGAAATTTGAAGGTCTACCTTGCTGGATTTGAAGTTATTCAGTTTTAAAGAAGCAGTGGTATTCGTTGAGGGCGCAATATCCTTTAAAGTTAAAGTCATTGTAATCTGCAAAATCAGTGTGATAATGGAGGTGATGCAGGAATAGTGCTTATGTGATAGAATTTGGAAGATCAAGGAAGCAAGAAGCTAGCATACATTTGATTGTGCGTCGAATTTGACATTAATTAGCGTGTTCTTGTGTTTGTACATTGCTCCGACATCTCCGGTGGACTCACCGCCTTTATTTGTTGCAGATGATGTAAGTGTCTACGATCAAATTAACAAAAAGGAAACACTGTTCGCAAATCACATGGAACTAACAACGGACGACCTAAATCAATGAAGAAACTGCATAGGTTAAAAAGTTACGTACCACTCCGGTGACACTGGTCGTTGAAACGGAAATTTTCTGATCCGACTGGTAGTCTCTCATCAGCAGATCTATAAAGACAACAACTATACATGAAATAATTCTCATGCACAGTTACTCCATCATTCACATGAATAGAGCAAGATGAACTGTGAATTAAATTGAAATTACCTTTTGTTTTCTTGCCGAAATGAGAGAAGAGTCCTGGTCCACTGTTCATTGCTGATGCAGAAATTAAAGGAGAAAGAGGTGTGTCGATGTCGTAGAATTGCGATGCGATGAAACAGATGGAGGAGAAAAAGGCTAAAATCATGAGTAAGCTGAATTCAATTTTACACCGAATCCCCCATTAGTGAATATACTTGATCGGTTTCGTTCAATACATGGAGAAACTGGTTGTCTTGTTGCCATAGATACAAGGACGGCAGTCGGGTAGATGAGAGCAAGGTCTTCTGTAGTACCGATTAAGAGCGAAGCCGGTTTATTTTGGGATATTTGCCAACTCATTTTCACAAAAAAGAAGCCATGTTTGACTTGGAAGGAACCAATCGCATTAATAAAATTTGTTTTAATTATTAAAAAGATATCTTTGAACTAGGATTTGTTATTTTGTTTATTTGGAGGAATGATTTTAAAAAGTAAATTTAGGCAATTGAGGTGCACTGTGGATTTCACCGTGCCCTTCGGTTTATAAATTTAAAGCTATATAGGTATAATCTTTTGCATAGCAGAGTCACATGACAAACTACCTTCTCAAACCGAAAAGAACTCAAATGTCAATGTGACCTTGAGATGTGGTAAACAAACAAGAGAGAGTAGCTCAAAGTAGAAGTCAAGAGAAGATGAGGAAGAAATAGAGATCACTCTCATTGAAGATCTCGTTGTCAAGAATGATGCACAACTCGATGCTCCAAAGAAGACTACCCCTTTAGTCACTCTCAAATAGTCACTCAACCACCATTTTCCTCCCGACTTGCAGTTTTAACCATTTTCCTCCCGACTTGCAGTTTTAAAGAAGAATGCTATAACATCCCATTTTCATTATGTCAATTAATCGTATTTACAAGGAATTCAAAATTTAATATTAAATAATATAACTAAATAAAATAAAATGTTTAATAGAATTGTCTAAAAAAAATGTTGTTAACAATAATATTAATTATAATAAGGTTGTTTCGAATTCATAATATTTAACTTGCAAAAGTTTTATAGATAATTATATTATTAGCATTATAGTTGTCCATATAAGGCAATTAACGAATTTGGAAATAAGATGGGATATTTCATTATTTTGAGGTTTAGTTTCATTTTAATTGTTGTAAAATAATACAAAATTATGAATTTGTCTTAGATGTCAATACCCAACGGTTGGAGGGTCAAAGTTACAAAAAAAAAATCAAGTTTAGAAAAGTTGCCATATATCATAACAATTATGAAACAATTGTACGGGTTGAAATCATGTTCTTTCCACTACTATAGAAAGAAAAAAAACCTGGAGACAGAGACGAAGATGTAGAGAGAGATTAGAGAGAGAAATTAGAATCATTGTGAGAAAGGCGAGCTTAATCCGTTCGGTAAATGTTCAACAGAGAAGAAGGTATCACGAGACGAAGGATTAAGGATCGATGGTTATGTCAGTGGTGTCGACAGAAGGAATAATCAGTTGATAAGACTATTGAATGAAGAAGGTTGAACTAAAAGCAGGATCTGATTTGGGTTGCTCATTTTCGATATATGAAGACGGTGTTGTTGATGTGCTGTTTCTGACAAGAAACTTAGGTCTTTCAAGTGGCGAGTCTAAAATGTAAAACCATATGGTTCACTATTTAAATGAAACTGATAGAAAAAAAATAAAAAATAAATCAAACAATAGTAGTTGCGGGTTTGGGTCGGATCGATTCGTATAAACCAAAAATGATTTAAAGTTCTTACAATTTTACCACGAGATTGTGGCAGATGCTGAAGGGGCGGTTGCCAACGCAATTGATCGGATTGTACCTGAGCTAATGGCGATAGTTGATTGTGAAGATTTCAACGAGATTGACTTAAGAGAATATATTGTTACTAATGTCTAGTCTTGATGTCATTCGCACGATTTTATTTTTTTCTATATATTTTTTAAAAAACTTTAAGTTTTCTTGGGTTACTGTTGTTGGATTAAAGCTTAAACAATATTGGGCTATCAAAATATAGATTATGGGCTGTAAAATTCAAATTAGTACATACATATCTTTCTTTTGCCAAAAATATTAGATAGTTCACTAAAAGTAATTAGGGTAGGTCACCAATTTTAATCCTATATACCTTATTATAAGAGAAAAAAATAGGTGGGTCAAGTGACCCACCAAAGATATGCTTACCCTCGCCACCGGGTGTTTCGGAGATGGTATCTCCGGTAAACTTCATTCATGGAGTGATCAACCAAATGTTGTCCAACATTTTCGTTGATTTCTCCATGAACGTCTGTGAAGCTCATGTCCTTGGCTCCAGAGAGCATGTGGTTGAACCCCAATGAAGTTGAATGGCTCCTGTGAGAGGATAGCTACGTCTAGGAGCTACTGTACCTATTGTTACTTAGCAAATCATTGGTAATAGCTAAGAAATATTGACTGGAGCATAAAGCAACCTGTCAGCATCGGAGAAGAAGGTTGCATTGGAGGGTTGCAATCGTTGTAGGTGTGATGGTTGTTGAAAATGATGAGTATGCTTGGATGATGAGTTAAATATTTGACTATTTTACCCTTGCCACTTAGATAACATATTAGGTTTTAATTGTTGTATGTGGGCTTTGTTAGTTGGGTTGACATTTTATGGACCATGATGAGAAATTAATGATTGGGCTTGGATTTTTGGAATAGCAATTCAAATGTATTTTAAGAGATTTGAAAAATTTTCCAATCAGACAATAAAGATGTAGACTTGTTCAATTAAACCTAATATGAATTTATTGGTATGAATTATAACGACATTTGAGATTAGTATCTTAACGATGGATTTAGGAATTTATCATTCCCGACACGATAATAAAAGTGAAGAAAAAATATATATATTATGAAATATTAATAAGTAATATTTAGTTTGCGATCTAAGTAAGGATTATTAATATGGTTGTAGGTGTTTAAAGAGATAAGAACCCGTCTTAGCCACTTCAGTAGTTCATTTTGTGATTTGCTGCTTCAGGTAAGTTTTCCTCACTATACTTGTGGGTCGAAGGCACCAATGTCGGCCCATTAGGTTATATATCCTGGTATATAGGATGTTGTTATGTTGTGGTGATCTGTTAGATGTGTGTTCAAGTATATAGGATGTTGTTATGCGGTAGTGATCTGTATATCTGCATGTTTTTCTATTAACTGGTTATGTGTTCTTTTGTTATGTATATGTCGACATGTTATGGTTTTGGGGTAAGGCTTTACTGCTATGTGTGTGAGCCAATAGACCGGGGGTATTCCAGTCTGATGACTGAGTAGACCCGAGGGTATTCCAGTCCGATAACTAAGTGGACCCGTTATATATTGGCATTCCAGTCCGATGACTGAGTGGGCCTAGACATTCCAATCTGATGATTGAATGGGTCGGGGGTATTACAGTCCAATGACTGGATGGACCTATTGTATGTTGGCATTCCAGTCTGATGACTGATTGGGTCGGTGGTATTCCAGTCTGATAACTGATTGGACCCAGCATGCAATGTTGTATATGTTATGTTGTGCGGTGGTACTTTGGGGGAACTCACTAAACTCCGTGCTTACAGTTTAAGTTTTATGTTCACGTATCTCAGATGATCGTGGGAAAGCGAAGACGTGATTGTACACATCCTTCGACGATATATAGTTTGGAGATTTATTATGATACTGATTTGGGATACTTTGATATATGGCTTATACTTTTGAGAACAATGTTTTGTAAATGATTGGTTTTGATTTGGGTTTTGTCTGAAAACAAAGATTTCTCTTGATTTAAAAATGAAAAAATTTATCGTGATTTTGGGGATGTTACGAATGCGGAGGAGAAAGATATCTTGGACACCTTCCAAAAGGTGGAGGTAAACATTCTCTTGCTTGATGCAATCAAGCAAATTCCTAGATATGCAAAAAATTCAAAAGAACTTTGCACAAATAAAAGAAAATTGAGAAGGAATGAAAAGATTTCAATGAGTGAAAATGTATCCATGGTTTTACAAAGAAAACTCCCACATAAATGTAAAGACCCCAGAATGTTTACAATTCCTTGCAAAATAGGGGATGTTACTTTTAGTAGTGTCATGCTTGATCTTGGTGCCTTTATTAATGTCATGTCCTATTCGGTATACGAATCGTTAAATGTTGGTCCTTTAAATGAAACGAGTGTCATAATTTATTTTGTGGATAAATCAAGTGTTTTTCCTAGAGGTGTCTTAGAAGATGTTTTGGTGCAAGTAAATCAATTGGTATTCCCGTCAGATTTCTATGTGATTGATTTAAAGGAACAAGTTTCCTCCAAAATCGGCTCTAATCTTGCTTGGAATACCGTTTTTGGAAAACGGCTAGGACAAAAATTGATGTGCATGCGGCATGCGTGTAATTTAACAATGAAATTTGATGGTGAAACAATAATCTTTATTAATTATGATGCTATGAGATATCCTAGTGATGTCTCATCTTTGTATTTTGTTGATGTTGTTGAACCACTAATCTAAGAATTGTTTGAGTTGACAAATGGTGACATGATAGAGATGATCTTGAGCAAGGGGTTTGATTGTGAAAAGCTCTCCAAGAAGTTAGAATTGTATTCTTTGGATCCGGATGTCGAAAGATTGGTTAAAAAATTGGAGGTGAAGAAATCCACAAGGGTTGGTGTCAAGCAAGTTGAGTTGCCTCTAACTCATACAAAGTTACCGCTTCCTATTGTTCAACACCGGAATTGAAATTGAAAGTTTTACCTCAATACTTGAAGTATGTGTATTTGGTAAAGAACGAGACTCTTTCGGTTATCATTTCTACTTATTTAACCGAATTTGAAGAAAAGCAACTCCTCAAGATGTTTAAGGAACACAAAGAAACTATGGGTTGGACGATTACGGACATAAAGGGATTGAACCCCTCCACTTGTATCCACTTGTATGCATATGTTATGCAAGTTACAAGCTGCTATTATTCCTTTCATAATAGCCTTTTTTGAGAAAACAACGAACATAAGTTTCCATTTCATAATAACTTTTTTGTTTTTTGTTTTTTTGTAAAAACAACATAAGTTTCTTTATGTTTATGACTTTTTGGAGTAATTTACACTTTTAGTCCTGTAAGTTTATAAATTTTAATATACTTAGTCCAAAGACCAAAAAAAATATCGGACTTAACAAAAAATTCTAATGATGTTATTAGGCTAAGGGTAGTAGGTGTGGACAACATCTTAATACATGACATTACATCAAAAAGGTTCCACTTCACATGTCTTATCACCCATAATGTTATAATACCAATTAAGGAAATAAATAACATGTTTTAACACCCATTAATTTTCATGTCATCATGTTTTTTATTTATTATTTTTTCGATTTATGTTTTAATATTTATAAAAACTAATATTTAATTAAAACATGCTATTTAAATAAATCTTAAATTTAACATCATTTTAAAACTAAAAATAACATTAAAAAAAACAATACAAGAAAAAATTACAATAATTATAATTTAAAAACATAAAAACGATACGATAGGTCTAGTTCAAATATCGTTTGTGGATTTTCTCCTTCATCGCATGAAGCACTTCCAAATCTCGGGGCGCCAAATCTGCCTCGCTAGTCCGAAGAATTGTCAAATCCTTCGTCATTTGATCTTCATCTCCTTGATTGCGAAGAAATTCCAAGTGTTGGCATTGTACTTCGACTCTTTCTTTTGTTATTAAATTGTGTGTGTTGAACTACTCTTTCATTTCCAGCAACTCTTGTGCCCTTCTTTCAACTTCATCCGCATGTCGTTGAGTGCACTTTACTTTGTCTCGTCCGACCGGTCGGTGTGGGTGGAGGGAGATCTCTTCGATGTCGTCCGGGATCTCATCGGTGTCGGCGTTGAGGTCAATGTTAGTTCGTGCATTGGTAACATCAAACGAACTTAAATTGCGAGATCTCTTTGATTGTACCTCCGACGATGTTGTCGTTTTAATCCATTTTTGGATCTTTTCTCACAATCTCTCATATTTTTTCATACTAAAAAACGTGTCCCATTTCGACGCCATATTTTTAATATGATTTTTTTATTAAAATTTGACCATTAAAAACCGTTCATAATTGAAAAGAAGCATGTTACGATTCGTTTTGATGGCAACGGGTATAACATAATGAGTAAGGGCCATGGGTGGTTCCACTATGGATATAGTCTTTAAAAGAATTGACTTTACCATACAAAAAGGTTTAGCAGCACAGCTTGTTGCATGTTTGTCATCTCACTCGTTGTACGATGATAACTAAGATACAATATAATATACGTATATTTTTATACTATTTTGTAACTACGTTAAAAAAATGTCACCGACAACACCTACTACTAAATCTTGCGTCGGCCCCTGGTGGGGGTGGTGTTTGCACCGTTACCACGTCGTTGAGGGTGAGCCACGTCGGCTCTAACGTCCAAACAGACCTATACAATATCGTGTTTGGCAAAAGTAGCTTTTAGCTGGAAGCGGATAGCGGGTAGCTGGTAGCGGATAGCGGGTAGCGTGTAGCGGGTAGCTGGTAGCGGGAAGCTATAGCTTTTACTTGTTATATGAGTGTTTTGGCAAAAGTAGCTGGAAGCTTTTGAAATATATAAAATTACATAAAAGCACAATTGATTAAAAATAAATAAATATATAAATATATTTTTAAGGGTAATTATGGAAATTGATTTCAAAAGCTCAGTAGCGTTTTGTTAAACGCTACATGAAGTAGCTTTTAGATTTGAAGCGTTTTGTTTAAACTAAAATCTAAACGCTCGTATTGCCAAACAAAGCTTTTTGTTTAAACTAGAGCGTTTTGTCAAAAGCTAATAGCTAGAAGCTTCCAAACGCTTCCAAAAGCTTCGTGCCAAACATGCCCATAATCTAAAAGACCAAATTTGATGGTTTTTAAAACAATCAATGTCAATAGTTTATCAAAACAATAACTAAACGTCTAGAGTGCTACATCAATGACCAAAACTGTAACTGCTTAAAAAAAATTAGAAGCTAAAACAATTTTTTCAAATTTCACGGCAAACTAACTAAAATCATCAAAAGGGATAATGACCTGAGAGGGTAACATAATTTAGCTTTTGGTCAAATTTTTGTCACTAAATTATTTTTCATGTTTTATTAACCCTTAAACTTGTTGAAACGTGTACATTATACCAATATGACTTGTAATAGTGGTTTTTGCCGGTTTCCAACATTGTTTCTGGCCTAACATGAGTTTTTCGGTCATCTTCTCCGGTCAAATTTGGTTTTCCGGCGTTGTTTCTGACGATATCTATGGCATACAACCCCTCTCCATCATCGACTACACCATCTCCCTTCTTCGATCGGTATGCTTTTTTCCGATTTCTACAAGGATTGATTTGACGAAGTTGTTCTGGTGGGAGCTTTAAACAGTCGCCAAGATCCGACGGGAGCTCATCGTGAGGTTTATGCAGTTTCTGATCTCGTCTGGGATTTCTCCGGCGAGGTCATTATTTCCTTCTTCTTCTCTCAAAATCGATTGCGGTCGCCAAACTCTAACTAGGGCACGTAACTTTGATCCAAATGTTTGTAAGAAACAATGCAATCGACGCCATGAGAGAGCACATTAGGAATGTCGTTAAAGAATCAGGGTTAATCGAAAACATTCTCCAACAAAAGATTGATATCGCTGTTGGATCCTCTGGTTCCATTCGGATGATAGAGAAGGCAATATTTCTTGGTTATAGTAATGATCTGGTGAATGAGATTGGTTTGCTCGAAGGTTATAGGAGGGATTGGAATTTACCACGGAAGAACTTAGGGTTCTTGTCGACAAGTTGTGTGAAGAAGAAAGTGAAGTTGAAGGAGGAAAGGTGTACAATTAGAAAGGGTTTTTCAAGCCAAGATTAACATTTATTGTAGCTGCTGTAATTTTGTTGGAAGAGATATTTGGGTCGCTTGGGATTAAAGAGATGGAAGTTTATGGTTATGCATTATGATGTGTTATTATTGAGAAAATAGCAGCGTTCTTTCATGGATTTGATTTGAATGCAAATCCAAGGTTTTACAACGTCGGATAATCGAGTTTAACCGGAGAATATGACTGGAAAACTCATGTTTGGTCGGAAACAACGTCGGAAACCGGTAAAAGCCATTATTACCGGTATAATGTACATGTTTCAACAAGTTTAAGGGTTAATAAAGCACGAGATATAATTTAGTGACAAAATGTAACCATAAAGTATGTTTAATTGTCAAGTAATTATCCATCGTAAAAAAAACAAAAAGTCCAATCCAAAAGTCGTCGGGCCGAACCCAAAAAATCATCAAACCAAATGAACCAAATATACAAATTTCTCAATTTATTGTTATTATATATATATAGAAGAAAGAACCCGGTCTTTGCGTTTCCAAGACAATCGGATCATTTGCCACCCATCCACACTCTGTTTTTCCCACCTGAAACAGAGACATCCCAACTTTTTTCGAATTCCGGGTAACCGTCGCAGGAATTTCTTCAACGCTTCGATTTGAAGCACATCATCTTCGTTCGTCATTTCCTTTTCAATTTCTCAAGCTTTCTCTATGTATACCCCATGTTTGCGGAGGAAGAAAGAACCATTCTTCATTTTCCGATTTGATGGTTTACATCGGTTGAACAATCGCGGGATTTTCAGTGACTGGTAGGTTGATCGTGTGGAATTCGAAGAAAGGAACGGCAATGGAGAGTTATCTGAATGAGAATTTTGGGAGAGTGAAACCTAAACATTCGTCGGATGAGTCGTTAAGGGACTGGAGGACGCTGTGTGGCGTTGTTAAGAACCCTAAACGACGGTTTCGTTTCACTGCCAACCTCGCCAAGCGCAATGAAGTTGCTGCTATACGACGTACCAATCAAGTCAGCCCTCTCGATTTTCTATTTTCGACACTTTTCCCCAAACTTGCAGTGATTTATACGGATGAACAGATATCTGATGCAACTATTGGTTGTTTAATTCTGCACAAAACGAAACTGCATATGCATATGAACATTATAACTTCCGCTGTAGATTATTAAGAGAATTGTTTATGTATCTGCGATTAAAAATTTAACTACTTGTGCACTAAACTAGTGATTTGCTAACGCATATGCATTTTGATTTGATTTACAATTACTCTAGTGATTATGAATTTAGACAGGCTTATCATCTCTTGACTTACCAATCATACCTTGATTGATAAAATTTACAGGAGAAGTTGAAGGTAGCAGTTTTGGTGTCTAAGGCTGCAGTTCACTTTTTACAGGGTGAGTTCTTAGTACTGATTTATATTATACGTAGTGTCTGAAGTTATTTCTTCTTATTGACGCCATTTTCGTGATCTTATCATCTTATAATTACAGGAATGCAACCAAGCAACTACACACTACCCGAGGAAGTTAAATCCGCTGGTTTTGAAATTTGTGCTGATGAAGTAGCTTCCATTGTAGAAGGCCACGATTCCAAAAAGCTCAAACATCACGGTGGTGTAGATGGCATTGCAAAGAAGCTCAACACATCAACAACATCTGGCATTTCAACTGATAAACAAACCCTAATCTCCAGACAAGAACATTTTGGGATCAACAAATTCACTGAGACTCTACATCGAAGCTTTTGGGTGTTTGTATGGGAAGCTCTTCAAGATATGACACTAATGGTCCTTGGTGTTTGTGCATTTGTCTCTTTAATCGTTGGAATAGCAACAGAAGGGTGGCCAAGAGGAGCTCATGATGGGCTTGGAATTGTCGCAAGTATTTTATTGGTGGTTTTTGTGACAGCTACAAGTGATTATCGTCAATCTTTACAGTTCAAAGACTTGGATAAAGAAAAGAAAAAGATATCAATTCAAGTTACAAGAAACGGATACAGACAAAAGTTATCAATCTATGAGCTACTCGTGGGTGATATCGTGCACCTCGCTATAGGCGATCAAGTCCCTGCAGATGGACTTTTCCTTTCTGGATTTTCAGTCTCCATTGATGAATCAAGCTTAACAGGTGAAAGTGAGCCAATAATGGTAACCACCGAAAACCCTTATTTACTATCTGGAACAAAAGTCCAAGATGGATCATGCAAAATGTTAGTCACAACAGTAGGAATGAGAACACAATGGGGTAAACTAATGGCAACTTTAAGCGAAGGTGGAGATGATGAAACCCCATTACAAGTCAAACTCAATGGAGTTGCAACAATCATTGGAAAAATCGGTCTTTTTTTTGCTATAATCACTTTCACAGTTCTTGTTCAAAAGCTAATAACTCACAAAATCAACCAAAAAACTCACTGGAAATGGTCTGGTGATGACGCTTTAGAACTACTCGAATATTTCGCAATTGCTGTCACCATTGTTGTTGTTGCAGTTCCCGAAGGTTTACCTTTAGCAGTGACTTTAAGTCTCGCATTTGCCATGAAAAAAATGATGAATGACAAAGCACTCGTTCGCCACCTGGCAGCATGCGAAACCATGGGGTCCGCAACAAGTATATGCAGCGATAAAACCGGGACACTCACTACAAACCACATGACAGTAGTGAAAGCTTGCATTTGTACAAAAGTCTTGGATTTGACCAAAAAAGTCAACGACATTCCCGATAGCGCATTGAAGCTTCTCCTACAATCGATATTCACCAACACCGGGGGCGAAGTCGTAATTAACCAACGTGGGAATCGCGAGATTTTAGGAACACCAACGGAGACAGCGATACTTGAATTCGGGTTGTTGTTAGGTGGGGATTTTAAATCCGAGAGAGAAGGTTCTAAAGTTGTTAGAGTTGAGCCGTTTAATTCTACAAAAAAACGAATGGGGGTGGTGTTGAAGCTTCCGGAAGGAATCGTGCGAGCTCATTGTAAAGGTGCTTCGGAGATAATATTGGCTGCGTGTGAGAATATGATTAATGGAAATGGCGAAGTTGTCCCTCTTGATGAGGGATCGGTTAATAATCTCAAGGGTATAATTGACAAATTTGCGGGTGAAGCTCTTCGAACGTTGTGTCTGGCTTATGTAGACCTTAATTCCGATGTTTCTCCGGAAACGGCTATTCCGGCTTCTGGGTACACGTGTATTGGAATTGTGGGGATAAAAGATCCTGTCCGTCCAGGTGTCAAAGAGTCAGTGGCTCTTTGTCGGGCTGCAGGGATTACTGTGCGTATGGTTACGGGAGATAATATTACTACCGCGAAGGCGATCGCTAAAGAATGTGGAATCCTTACTGATGATGGGATTGCAATCGAAGGTCCGGATTTTCGTGAAAAAAGTCTGGATGAATTGTACTATTTAATTCCCAAAATTCAGGTACATTTTCTTTTTCATATTTTGTAATAATTAATAAAATTATTTGAAATTGAACTTACTATTTTTCTTCATTCAGGTAATGGCCAGATCTTCTCCTCTCGATAAGCATACACTCGTGAGGCACTTGAGAACGACATTCGGTGAGGTTGTGGCGGTTACTGGTGACGGTACAAATGACGCTCCTGCCCTTCATGAAGCTGATATTGGGCTTGCAATGGGCATTGCTGGTACCGAGGTGAGCAAGACTGTATTTGTTACATAAGACAGCATTGTCACATTGTGACACAAAGTTACAATTTTTCTTCTTGACATCGGTATTTGTACTGGTTATAATCCAATTTTATTTAGAGGAATATTTTTCTTGATTTCAGGTAGCAAAAGAGAGTGCGGATGTTATTATTCTTGACGATAATTTCTCGACAATTGTGACGGTTGCGAAATGGGGAAGATCAGTCTACATTAACATTCAAAAATTTGTACAATTTCAGCTTACGGTCAACGTAGTGGCTTTGGTAGTCAACTTCACTTCCGCTTGTTTGACTGGTACTTACGAATACAATACAACTCATCTACCAATTTTATAACTCACCACCACGTGTCATGTCCTTACTGGTTCTTTATTTTTTTTCTTTTACTATAGGAAGTGCTCCCCTTACAGCTGTCCAGCTGTTATGGGTGAACATGATAATGGACACACTAGGAGCCCTAGCCCTAGCAACCGAACCCCCGAATGATGAATTAATGAAACGACAACCAGTTGGAAGAACAGGAAGTTTTATAAGCATTGTTATGTGGCGGAATATTTTAGGCCAATCTATTTATCAATTCACAGTCATATGGCTACTTCAATCAAAAGGAAAATCATTTTTTGGTCTTTATGGAGATGATTCCGATTTAATCCTCAACACCCTAATTTTTAACGCCTTCGTCTTTTGTCAGGTATATAATTAATTAGTTTTATATCACAACTCTTCTTTTTATATTTGGTTAATGCTAACATACTTATATATTATTAATTGTGCAGCTTTTTAATGAAATAAACTCTAGAGAAATGGGGAAAGAAGACGTCACAGATGGCATATGGGACAACAATGTGTTCGTAAGCGTGATATCAGCAACTTTTATTTTTCAGGTGATAATAGTCGAGTATTTGGGCACATTTGCAAATACTTCACCATTAACAATCATCCAATGGTTTTTTAGCATTTTTATCGGGTTTTTAAGCATGCCGATTGCTGTCTACTTGAAAAGAATTCCATATTTGTTAAAAACTAATTAGATTTAGATTTTTTTTTTATTAGTTTTAGGAATTAGGTTTGTAGACTTTATAGTTGTACAATTATTTATATCGTGTTTAGTGTTGTTTTCATTTTTTTCGTTTCTGACATTCAATAGTTAGGACCCACACAAACTCAAAAACACCCAGTTTCAGCTTTCACTGTTGTATTATTTGATAAATTTTGTCCACTCAACAAATCATATCAAATCAAATAATGACTCCATTCCAATTTCCACATTCCCAAAACCTCTTCAGTCTTTTGACATATACACAGAAACAGTACAATCTTTAGTCTTTATCCAGACTTAAAGCTTAAAAAGGCTAATGAAATGAAAAGACAATTGAACTCAAGAAGAAAAATTAAATAAAGTAAAGAAAAAACTTCCCATTGAAGACCCATCTTTGGGCCCTTCTCACTGTATGTTAAGCTTTACATACCACCCACTTTCACTACTTGCAACTTTCCATATTCAAACTCCCTCTCAAAATAACTCAAAGATCAAAACCATATGTTGGTAGATTATTGTGTTCCAAAATGATCACCCATCAAATGTTCAAATCCAATCAATTGAATCCATTTCTTGTCAAAAACAAAGTGTTGCAGTTACTACTATCTCCTAATAATCTTCTGCAATGGACAATTTTGTTCAAATCTAAGCTTCCTCTTAATGGTGGAAGAAGGGCTCCAATGAGTTCTTAATGAACTAAACGAATTCATCAAGCATGGAGTGTTATTCTTTTTAGTCTTGATATCCTTCAAAAGATTGTAACACAAGTATATATGTTCCTAAAAATGAACAAAATGTTAGATTAATAAGATAATGAATGTTTCTTTTTTACTTAATGCAGAAAGAACGACTTAATCCGGTCTTACTTTTTCTAGAGAGTAAAGGGATGACACTACACCAATCTTCAACTCCATTGTGTTTCTTGTTAATTGATCATCACAAGCTAATAACACTGAGGCTATGGCAACAACAGATGGCCTATAATCCATTGAATTAAACTCTGTAAAAACAAACAATTTTAGTTTTTAATACACAAAGAATCCCAAAATGAATCAAGCTATTGAGGCATTAATACCTTTGGAGAAATCAAGAATGAGTTCAATGGATTTGGACACTAGAAACTCATCACAGTCACATTCATCTTGAACTTTGGAGAAGAAATGGTGAAGATAAGCAAATGGGGTAATGCAGGACATTTTCCATTCTAATGTTGTCAAAATCATTAATTCCATTCTTTGAATCACACTGCTTTCGAATTTGTACCCTTGTGCTTTGTAGCGGGACAATGATGGCGCAACTTGTTCCTCCATTTTAGCAGCTAAAGATAAGCATGCAATACAAAGCAACTGGATAGCCCATTCTTTCCCAATCTATTAATTCATAATCACTTAATCAGCACTAATCGCAACAATTACAGAAATAATTTCAACTTTTAACCTTTTTGGAACAATATAACGTTGCTGTAAACAGTAAACAGAAATGGAGATGATTATCGTTTTGGGGGAAAAATGGTGTTTTAATGAAGCAAGTATACTTACATCGATAAATCGCCTTGAAATGAATCGATCGAAGTATGTCAAAGAGAGATAAGCTGTACGAAATTGAAAACCTAAAATTTCTCTAGTCTGCAACAAATTAGAAAACTCGATAAACACCAGAACGAAAAGAGTGAAACAAGGAGAATCATTAAGGAACAGAGAGCTTCGTACACTGAAAATCCAGTTAATGGCGTCTAATCGAGCACATTTGAACCAGTTTCTACTCTTATCATCATCGGAAACGCAAACGCAACCATAATCATTTGATTTGGATTCTGTTTCGATCAGAGATCGTATATACCGATCGTCTTCCGATTTAGGTAAGGAAGCATCGAGCTTGATTTCGTTTAAAGACGATTCATCTTCTTCACACAAGAGACTTGGCAGAGAAAATGTAGTGTCGGGATCCATTTCTAAGGAAATCTAGTGAAGGAGAAGCAAAATCAAGGAAGAGTTATTGATTAATTTGTTGGATGGAGGAAATCTAGAGGGAGAAGAGGCGCGAAATTGGGGAGCTGGTGAGTAGCTGCGATTTTGGTGCCGCCAAATTTTGGACATGAGATATATAGAAGAGCAGTGGACTCGTGGGAAGTTTCATTAGCATTAGCGGTTTTTAATGTTTTTTTTTTTAATGTGGTAAGCATTTCTATATTTTGAGTTATATAAAAAAAATGAGTGAGTGGGAGGGTTAAATGTTTGGATGTTTATTTTTTCCTTCAATTATTTTTTCGATTATCAAAAGATATCAATACTTCCTCGAATATCGACCGTGAATTAGCAAGTTGTCTATTTTACATGACACTTATAAATTACTTTGCGGTTTTTGTTGTGTCACGCAGCAAACGTGCATCAGTTTTTAAGTTAAAAGTCTTCTGAAAAACAAACAGTTGCGAAAAGCTATGTAACAACCCAAATTATTACAGAAAATTTAACTTTTAATTTCATAAATATCAACCATAATGTGTCCAAAAATCCCATTACATAGCCATAGTGTTTTAAAATTTAGAGTTGGAAACTAAATGTGAAAACACGGTAGAATGCACGTCGCGTCATCAAGCCGGACCCTTGCCCTTATCGCTAGAAGTACCTGAAACATTCAATAGAACTGTAAGTACAAGCTTAGTGAGTTTCCCAAAACACATCAATCATATAATCACATAATACCATGCACACATATATACATATAAGTTTGCCATGGACTCCCTCCATGGTCTTCATTGGAATGTCATGGGCTACCCCCATGGTCTTATATCCCCGAGCCATGGGCTCCTCCCATGTTCTTCACATAAATCCACATACATATCAAAAAGCCACAATCACATACTTCATCATTAATCATCTCATACATATCAATTAATGGGTCGGCATTGGTGCTTTCGACCCATGAGTGTGAAGAGAAGACTCACCTCAATCTGTTGAACACAAAAATTGCTCGCCCAACAGTCTGAAACCACACACTGAACAATAATACAATTAACCCTAAATTAAGATTATACACAAACTGATCAATGAGTCTAAACACTTAAGCCTAAGTCCTTCCATAATGGTCCAAAAGTCTCCCCTTTGCTAATGGGCCTAAGACCCATGATAAAGACCATTAATGGGCTGTATGGCCCAATAAGGCCCAACCAAAACAACTATGGTCCAAAACAGAATATCAGCCCAAAACTCTAAGTGGGACCAGACCCAAAACTGAATAAGTCCTAAACCCAACTGAGTGTGTACGCCCTGCGTACCACTCTAGTACGCTTAGCGTACTGAGCCCTTTTGGTTGTACGTGCAGCGTACACAAAATTACGTCCAACGTATAACCAGATTAAGCACCACGACCATTAAGTACTTAATACTTGGAATTTCAACGTCCAATTTCAAATCTGAACTTATTAAGATACCCTAAGGCATAAAGTTGGCAACTTTATGCCCTTGCATGCCATAAGGGACTCCAAAACTTTATTATTCACATTAAGAATTCACATAAGACCTCAAGCTCATGCATGGAAACTAGACAACCCTCAAGATGGCACCTTTATGCATCTAATATGCTCAAAAAGCTTAGATCTATCCATCTTATTATCTGGAGTTGCTCAACTCGCGAGAGAAAGTCCAAGAACCAAAAAGGGACTCCATGGCAAGCCCCAAGCTTAAACTAACCAAATAGATGACAAGGTTATGACTTTATACCTACAGAAGTTCCTCAGGATGAACTTGATGCAGGATCTAGAAGCTCAATGCCACCCAAGACTTGATCACCACCTTCTCCTTCTTGAATGCTCTCTAAAATGGCCACCAACACACTTTCTAAGCTCCAAAATCACACTCATGAGGAAATCTGAGGTTAAGGGACGAAATGAGGCTATGGAGGCTGGTTAGGGTTTGGTCCAAATGACTTAAGGACGTTTATATAGGTCTCAATCCCGAATATTAGGGTTTTGTCCATCTGCCACGTACGCCTCGCGTACATGGTGCACCTTCGCGATCATTCCACCTCGGTACGCTAAGCGTACCCATAATTACGCCCAACGTACGAAAGGAACCAATATTGCAAAGAAAATCATTTCAAGGTCTTAAAGGGTAATTTCATGGATTGGAGTGTTACAACTCTCCCCCACTTGAACTAGACTTCGTCCTCGAAGTCCACAGTCGCAAACAGATCCGGGTAATGCTCTCTCATCTCGTCCTTTGGCTCCCACGTCTATTCGAAGCCTTTATGGTGCTGCCATTGCACCTTTACTAACTTCACTTCTTTATTCCAAAGAGCTTTGGTTTTTCTATCCAAAACTACAATGGGCTTCTCCACATAATTCAGGCTCCCATCCACCTGAATATCATCCAAAGAGATAACAACGGCCTCATCAGTAACACACTTCCGGAGCTGAGACACGTGGAAGGTGTTATGGATCTGGCTGAGCTCATCCAGTAGATCCAACCGATAAGCAACCCTACCAACTCGGGCAGAAATCATGAATGGTCAAATGTATCGGGGCCCCAACTTGCCCCTATTACGAAATCGAATAACACCCTTCCAAGGTGATACCTTTAGCAGCACAAAGTCACCCACTTGGAACTCAAGATCTGATCGACACCGGTCATCATATCTCTTCTGACGACTCTGCACAACCCTCAACCTATCACACACTTGCTGAATCAACTCAGTGGTCTTAAGTACCACCTCGGTGCTTCCCATGACTCGATGCCCAAGCTCACCCCAGCAAACTAGATTCCTACACTTCTGACCATACAACATCTCAAACGGGGGTCGGTATACTAGCATGGTAACTATTGTTGTATGAGAACTCTGTTAGTGGAAGGTAAGCATCCCAACTCCCTTCAAAGTCTAATACACATGCCCGAAGCATGTCCTCGAGCGTCTGAATTGTCCGCTCACTCTGGTCATCAGTCTGGGGGTGGTAAGCAGTGCTAAAATGCAATTAAGTTCCCAACTCCTCGTGAAACTTCCTCCAGAATCTGGAGGTGAAACGAACATCACGGTCCGATACCACAGATACCGGAACCCCGTGCCTGACCACCACCTCCCGCACATAAATGTATGCTAATTTCTCGGCGGAGATACTCTCGGAAATCGGAATAAAATGGGCACTCTTTGTCAACCTGTCCATAATAACCCAAATGGAATCCACACCCCGCGCCGTCTTAGGTAACTTCGTGATAAAATCCATGGTGATCTCTTCCCATTTCCACATGGGGATAGGTAGCGGTTGCATCTTGCCGTGAGGCCTCTGATGTTCAACTTTGACCTTCCTGCAGGTCAAACACCGCTCGACAAACCACGCAGTCTCCTGCTTCATGCAGGGCCACCAATAGCTCAATCTCAGGTCCCGATACATCTTTGTGGCCCCCGGATGAATAGAAAATTTGGACTTGTGTGCCTCCTCCAAGATTCTTTGCCTCACACCCCCAGTTGCTGGAACCGAAACTCTGCCACACTAAGTCAATAACCCCCGACTATCTCGAACAAACAACGGAATTTGCCCCTGAATCCACTCGATCTTCCAGTTCTCCCTTTTTAAACCATCCACATGTGCTTCCTTAATCATATCCAATAAAGGTGAAATCACTGTCATCCTCAAACAAACATCTCGAATCGGGGCACTTGCCGTCTTACGAATCAAAGCATCGTCCACCACATTGGCCTTCTCGGGATGGTACACAATCTCAGAGTCATAATCTTTCACCACATCTAACCACCTCTTCTGACGCATATTTAAATTATGTTGATCCATCAAATACTTCAAACTCTTGTGATCAGTGAATATGGTGCATCGTACCCCATATAGATAATGCCTCCAAATCTTGAGGGAAAAAATCACTGCCCCCAATTCCAAATCATGAGTGGGGTAATTCACCTCATGAGGCTTCAGCTGCCTCGAGGCATAAGCAATCACATGCCCCCTATGCATCAGAACAGCTCCTAATCCCGAAATAGAAGCGTCGCAATACACTACAAAATCATCAAATCCTTCGGGTAGTGCTAGAATCGGGGCCTCGCATAATTTTTGTCTCAAGGTCTCGAAAGCCGACTGCTGATCTGGACCCCACCGAAAGGTCACACTCTTCTTGGTCAAACGGGTCAAGGGTACAACAATTTTGGAGAAATCCTGAATGAATCTCCGATAATACCCCACTAATCCCAAGAAACTCCTGATCTCAGATGCGTTCTTCGGAATCTCCTAACACATTACCGCCTCAATCTTGGCGGGACCTACCAAAATACCCTCTTGGTTGATGATATGCCCTAGAAACTGCAGCTCACGCAACCAAAAATCGCATTTGGAGAATTTGGGATAAAGCCTCTTCCACCTCAAGGTCTCCAACACCTCTCTCAAATGTTGCTCGTGCTACTCCTTGGTCATAGAATAGACCAGAATATCATCAATGAAGACAATCACAGACCGATCAAGCATCGGTCTGCAAACCCGGTTCATGAGATCCATGAACACTGCTCGAGCATCGGTGAGTCCAAATGGAATCACCACAAACTCGTAATGACCATAACGAGTTCTGAATGCCGTCTTCGGTATATCTTCATCCATGATCCTCATCTGATGATACCCTGACCGAAGATCAATCTTGGAAAACCAAGATGCACCCTGAAGCTGATCGAACAAATCATCAATCCTTGGAAGCGGATAACGGTTCTTCATCGTTAGCTTATTCAGCTCCCGATAATCAATACATATCCTGTGTGACCCATCCTTCCTTTTCACGAACAGGATCGGTGCTCCCCATGGGGAACTACTCGGATGAATGAACCCCAGGTCTAGCAGCTCCTAAAGCTGCATAGACAACTCCTGCATCTCAGGTGGAGCTAACGATACGACGCCTTGGCTATCAGATCCGCACCAGGCACTAAATCGATTCAGAACTCCACTTGCCTCTCGGGAGGCACCCCA